AAACATAAACAATTACAATATATATTTTTGAAAGCATTCTTACTTTATAGCATTTTTTCATACCTTCCTAAAACTTTTGCACAGTACTGTATGTCTGAAGTTAATAGCTTGCCTCTGCAAACTTATATTATCCATTAGCTTCATGGAGCTTCTTTCCAGCATGCATATGCTTAAGATCAGCTGTGGTCTGCACAGTGTCTGATGGTTGAGGGCTTGTGGAGGACAGATAAATATCTGCTGTGAAGATGCACAGCTAGCTCTTTAAATATTTTATCACTGTCTTAAACATGATCTAAATATCCATGCTGCTTACATACTGATATGAAATTGTTTATGTTCTACTCATTCTCAAGTTTAAAAAGAGAAACTATTTTGAACTCGTATGGAAAATCAATTTGGTTTTTTTCTTTATTTTTTTTCTCCTGATCTGTGATTCAATGTTTTTCATAACTTCAAATCATTCAGACATTGAACCCCCAGTAATTGATCAGTGCAGATCTCCACTACCAATTCAGGTCACTGAAAAGGAGCACAGAGTGATGTGGGATGAGCCACAGTTTTCAGACAATTCAGGTGAGTGACTTTGTTGATAGGTTCATTTTTTTCCCTATTATTTTAGACATTAGTTTGGATTACATTTGGATGAATTTTGACTATCAGTTTGAAGTGTTCCTGTAGAAAATGCTATCATCTCATGATGAAGCTAAGAAATGGTGTCTTTATATCAACTTTATATCAACAGCTAGCATGAATTAGGATAGAAAATTCTGGACACTTTAAGTATGAATGTTTAAAGCATGTTAATGTTTGAAACACATTAAAGGATGGCCAAGTTGTATAATAAAGAACAGTAAAATTCCCCATTACTTTACTATTTAGAGCAAGGAGTTTAATCCATATTTATTTAATATTTTTCTTGCAAAACTCAAGCATTTATTGTGTTCTGCAAAATGCAGTGTGTGCAACTATTATCTGGTTTAGAAGAGTAGAACAAGTTGTTTCATTCATTTTGTTGTCCTGGTAAATAAAAAAAAATTGAGGATTGATTAAATCATATTAAGGCTGGGATCTACAAAGGCATTAATGTCCAATAGATTGAATTATATAAAATCAGACTACATCATTTGTAGACTGTACTTCAGTTACATAACAATTATTTGGGGTTCCAGGTTATAAATGTGAGGTATAGCCTTGGCAGAATATTTGAAATGAAATGACATCTGTTTCCCTGTTTTGTTTCTCACTATTTCAGGAACCACCTTAATAATAACTAAAACCCACTCACCTGGAGATCTCTTTCCCAAAGGAGAAACAGTGGTTCAGTATACAGCCACTGACTTGGCAGGAAATAACAGGACCTGTGAGCTTAACATTGTCATCAAAGGTTTGTTTTCATGGTGTTTATATTTAGAATTATTTGTACTGTTTAAGAGTACTAAAGAATATTCCTCCTCTGAATTCACATTTTGGAATTCCAAATTATCCAGTCTTACATCCAAAGCAGATCCAATTAATTTACAGTTCTCCATTACATTAGTTTTATTCTTTTTAAAGAAAACTTAATTTTATACAGAGTATTCTGTACATATAATACCACAGCTTTTGGTTTCTTAGATTTTGTTTAAGAGTCGGTCGTGATGTTGTCATATGTCCAGATTGTGGAAGAATTTTGTTTTGTTTTTTAATGGAGTGACATACCAATGAAAGAAAGAAACTGGGAAAATGTACTCACCCCTAATACGCCATAGGTTCATTATGTAGCATGAGGAGGAATTGTACAAACTTCAATCTGAAATTCTTATTTTTCAGGTTCTCCTTGTGAAATTCCCTTTACTCCAGTGAATGGTGATTTTAAATGCACTGAAAATGAGACAGGAGTTAATTGCACATTACTTTGCATGGAGGGATATGATTTTACAACAGGTTCCAATGAAAATTACTATTGTGCCTATGCAGATGGTATCTGGAACCCTCCTTACTCTACTGAGTGGCCTGACTGCTCTTGTAAGGTTTATCTTTTATATTTAGTTGATTGGTTGGTTGTTTTTCAAGTGACTGGTATGTTTTGTCCTCCCAGTAATTAAATAATGAGAAATGAAAAATATAATCAAACTAATAAGAGTTGGATCACACACACACACACACACAAAACCCAGCATTATGCCATTGCCCTATTTCTATCCACAATAGATAGAAATGTTATTATCTGTTTGGTTATCACCACAATCATTATGCACTTATCTATTATCCATTTGGATGTCTATGATTCATATCTGCTTGTAACATGTCTCTGTATCTGAATGTTTATTTGAGTGATCTCAGAAGGAATTATTTTGGGGGGGGGGACTACCAACCACCCTAAACCTTAGTCTGGACCTAGATTGTTTTTTTTTCTGGAGTCTTTGCTAGGTGTTGTGCTACACTTTGAAGAAAACCAAGTCAACATTATAATTCTTTCCCAAATGTTAATGGCACCTGATTCAGGACATTTGTCCTAATGACACTTAATTCTAAGTTAATGTGGTTTATGGCACCAGTTACTGAATAATTGATGGAATTATTTTTATTTGAATAACTTCATTGGTGCTGTTATTAAATAGAGATTCACAGGATTCTCCTATCCCTAGAACCATCCTTTCTCCTTCTTACCAAACATCTCCAGGAACAGATCTAGGGGTAAATCTGAATCTTTAACTATAAAGCAAATATTGAAATGTCAGAAAAATCAGAGAGAGAGAGAGAGAAAGAGAGAGAATTATGCTGTATAGCTTATTTATCTGGGAAAAAAAGGCATATTGACTTGGATGTATTTTAAAAGCAACAAATATTTTCCCACTTGAGTACAGTTAGGATTTCATTGTATCTTATGATATGATATTATACAGGTAGTCCCCATTTAGCAACCACAACTGGGACCAGCAACTTGGTTGTTAAGTGAAGCAGTCACTAAGTGAAACTACAACTGTGCTTATGATCTTTCTTCAGGTTTCCTTTGCTTTAAGGACCTACAAAAATCATAAATGCAAGGATTGAAGTTACTTTTTCATCACTGTTGTAACTGAATGGTTGCTAAATAAGGCAGTCACTAAAGGAGGACATATTGTATTGTATTATATGTTGTTGTTCAGTTGTTAAGTCATGTCCGACTCTTCGTTACCCCATGAACCATGAACCATATCACGCCAGGCCTTCCTGTCCTTCACTGCCTCCCTGAGTTTGCTCTGTTTCATGCTTTATATTATATTATATTATATTATATTATATTATATTATATTATATTATCTGGTGCCTACATTGGTGATTGGGATAATCCTGGTTTCTTATTTTTTTTTTTATGCAAAAGAAACTAAAAGTAGCTTTCATTTTAACATAATGCAACTGAACATAATTCAGTACAATTCAGGCCCGTACACTTTTTGTAGCAATATACTAATAATAATATAATGTTTTTCAGTGAATCGTTTGGCAAATCATGGTTTTAAATCCTTTGAAATGTTGTATAAAGCAACACGATGTGATGATAATAATCTTCTTAAAAATTTTGTGGAAGTTTTTCAAAGTGCACTTGGTAAAATGGTGAGTTACTTGCAAATCATTATAAGTTCCTACTGTGACAAATATGAACACAAAGTGTGAACAGTAAAAACAGTGGAACACCTAGCATATTTTAAACCTGGAAAGGATCATCTTTTAGCAACCCTTCCCTTCACTCCTGAAAGTCAGTTTGGTGCAGTGGTTAAGACATCAGACTAGAAACCAGGAGACTCTTGAGTTCTAGTCCTCCTTAGCCACAATGCCAGCTAAGTGATCTTGGGCCAGTCATTTCTGTCAGCCCTAAGAAGAAAGAACTGGCAAGCCACTTTTGAAAAATGTTGCCAAGAAAACTTCATAGACTTGTCCAGGCAGTTGTCAGGAGTCACAACTGAAGGCACAATTCTTTTCTTCCAGCACTGCTGTACCACTGCCAACAGCCAAACAGCTGATCAGTGCAGCCCAATTTCATACCCACATTAGCCTCCTTGTGTCTTTGGCAGCACCCCTCTTATTGCCTACACTCCCCACCCACCCCTTAATACACCACTGAGTAAGAAAACGAAGTATCTGATTATAGAACTAAATCGCCTGTTACTAATTTAAATAGAGAACTACTGAATGTAATAATTCATGTCACTTGAATTATGTATTTACTTTCCCTAGCTGAGCCTGCTTTATTACCTTTCAGTTTGTAAAGACTACTGAAATAAGGATATCTATTTCTGAAGTGGATTAGATAATCTAAATTAGTCAAATGGCAGGGAGGTTGTGTCTTTTCTCTAAGTTTTTAACTAAAGATTTGAGGGGTCCCTACCTTTTTAGCCTTCCAGAAGGCCATGAAGACCTGGCTCCTCCCCCAAGCGTTGAGCTAGGATGAATGTTGAGCCAGAAGGCTCATAGTCTGGCTGGTCTGGCACCTGGAGGAACAGTTGTGGTTTTTATTCTTTTTTTTACTGGTTGTTGTGAGCTGCCCAGGTTCACTACATGAGATAGATGGCCATATACATTCTTCAAATAAATTAAATTGCTTTATAGAAACAAATATATTTTTCCATGAGAAAAAGTCAAAGTCCATTATTGGATAACCTTTATTATCCCAACCAGAGAGATACAAAGAATTGTGGGAGCATTTTTTTCTCCAAAATATAGAGGAGCTGATACAAAAAAAACAACAACAACCCAGAGATGGGGTAGGTAGAGACAAACCCAAAGTTTATGCCATACATTTTAGCATCAGCCTGAAGATAGAGATTGCAAACTGAAGCAATAATCACTTTAGGTAGGTGTTCGGGTGTCAGATTACACCTAGCCTTCTGAGGCAACAGTGGACAAACCCATGAGGTGCCTGAGTGTCAGATCGGTCTTTTACCAAAATAGGCAAAGCATACAGACACAAGGAAAACAAAGCAGGGAACAGAAATAAAGAGAAACATGGTAATCTTCATATCAGCTTAAATTTATGCGTCATATGAGATTAGAAAGGATGTTAAACCAAATTGTGTAGTATTACCCAGTTGTGAATTAAGTATTTTTATTACTGCTGTTTTCTTATGGGTTATAGGTTCCATCATTTTGCAATGATGTTGATGACATTGACTGCAGGCTTGAGGATTTTCCACAGAAACATTGCTTAGAATATAATTATGACTATGAAAATGGCTTTGCAATTGGTGAGTTAATTGTTTTGCTACCTATTTCTAAGTTCCTAAGAAAGAAATATTCAGCTTGTTCCTTGTAGTAAGTCTGAATATCCACTGGGTCAGACCAGTGTTCCTAGTAAACTTGGGCAAGCAAATTAGAAGAAGAAACATGGAAATATGACCAGGAAAAAAAAAGAATAACCATTAAGAGCTTCTTCCATCATTTATTTCTCTATTCCCTTCTCATTGTTTTTTCTTCCTTAGAAACAGCAGTGTTCTGCTCTCTTTCATTCATTTGTATGTAATCCCTACTTTGCCCCTCTGCTTAACCTTTGTGGTAGAACCTGACCTTTCAGGTCTGCATCTTATCCCGTAAATCATTGTTGTCCAAACTTGGCCTCTTTGAGATGAGTGGACTTCCGGCTGCCTGGGGAATTCTGGGAGTTGAAGTCCACTCATCTTAAAGTGGCCAAGTTTGGACAACACTGCCGTAAATTGTCAAGTCAGTAGCTGCTGCTTATCCCTTTCTCTTCTTCTCCTAAAAAACATAATTGTGCTTGAGCAATTGTTACCATCCATAGATGTTATTTGTTTCTCTTGGGGATATTTCTTCTTTTTTTCTATTACTAACAGGTCCTGGTGGCTGGGGTGCCGTAAATCGGCTGGATTACTCTTACGACGATTTTGTTGAAGTAGATCCTGAAGAGGAACAACCTAAATTAATATCTGATTCTGTAGATGTGGCAAACTCCCGGGTCAAAAGACACAAAAAAAGGAACGTGCCCATGTCAGACCACAAAATAAAGTTAATTTTTAATATCACTGGTACGAAAATCATTTTGTCTTTTGTTATTTAGGAATATGGAATAGAGTTCAAGTGTTTTGTAAGTACAGTGGTACCTCGGTTCATGAACTTAATTCGTTCCGCGACTCTGGTCGCGAACTGAATTGGTCGTGAACCGAA